ACTACAGAGCAAGACCCTGTCTCAAAAACAAAACAAAACAGGGGCCAGGGATTTAGCTCAGTGGCACCACACCTGCCTCACAAACACAAAGGTCCTGAGTTAGATCCCCAGTACCAAAAAAAAAAAAAATTAAAAAATTAAATAGCTTTTTGAGAATAGAGGCTCTCTACCCTATGCAAAGCTGAGGAAAGAGGATTCTAGGTTTGAGCCTACCCTGGGGTGACTTAGCAACCTGTTTCAAAATTTCTGTGAAAAAGACTAGCAGGCGGGGGAATACAGCTCAGCGCCAAAACACCTGCCTGACAGACTTGAGGTCCTGAGCTCAATCCCTAGTACCTAAAAAAAATAAAATAAAATTTAAAAAGGTGGAGGATAGAGCTCAGTGTGAAGGATCTGGGTTCAATCCCCAGTAGCAGAAAACCAACAACAACAACAAAAAACCCAGGCTATTTATAATTACTAGCTGTTCCATATCTTTGCCCTGCAAATATACACACAGTATTTGAACTTCTCTGAAATGGCTGCTTTTCAAATTTAAAACCTATTTCCCACGTGCACATTACTATTAAAAACAAAACAAAAAAATCTTAAATGCTGCTTTCTATTTCTAACAATGCAGCCAGCAGTAGATTGGTTTTGTGCTTTTATAATATGTAAATACAGAATACCACATACAGTGAGAAAACACATCAAAGGCTCGCCAGGGATTTAGCTCAGTGGTTTCACCGCCTGCCTTGCAAGCTTGAGGTCCTGAGTTCAATCCCCAGTACCAAAAATAAATAAATAAATAAATAAATAAATAAATAAAGGCTGAAAATTCTTTCTAATTTAAGCTTAAAAGTAGCTTCAGCTGGGCATGGTGGCACTCGACTGTAATCTCAACACTCAGGAAGCTGAGGCAGGAGGATCATGGTGAGTTTCAGACCAGCCTGGGCTACATACTGAGTTCAAGGCCAGCCTGAACAGCATAGTGAGATCCTGTCAAAAGCAAAATTAAAAATAAATAAATAATTTGTAAATGCTTCCCAATTCAAAACTTGCTAGTTTATAAAAATTGTTAGGCCATGGGGCCGGGGATTTAGCTCAGTGGTTTCGCCGCCTGCTGCACAAGTGCAAGGACCTGAGTTCGATCCCTGGTACCAAAAAAAAAAAAAAAAATTGTTAGGCCACTAAAATATGACTGGGATTTTTAAAAAATAACCTGGTTAAGAGGGAGTAAAAAGGGATTACGGCCATGAGCTTATTAAACTTTTCACTATACTTCTGTATATTTGGAATTCTTGGTAAAAAAGAAAAATCACATAAACTCTTCAGATACGAATTTTCTGGCAGAACAGTCATCTGAGAATTATAATTTCATACTGTTCCAAAATACAGAGTTCACCAAAAAAATGTATACACACTTTTGCAGCTTGCTGTACTAACAAATGTCTGGAAGCTCATGGCCATCACTTTGAGCACCACTTGTAACTGTGGAGGCCAAACATCTCATGCTGTCTCAATAAATTTAGTATCAAACTATGTATGCAAGTTATTTTTATTCCTGATGTATACCTTGTTTTTGGGCAGAATCTGTAGATGCTATTCTTCAGAAATGCTGCTTCCAGTGCCTAAAAAATATACTCTGATAGATTTAATCTATCCATTGGGATAAGATCCTAACCAAGGGCAGGGCCGGGGATATACCCCAGTGGTGCCACACATGCCTGGCAAGCACAAGGTCCTGAGTTCGATCTCCGGTACCAAAAATAAATAAAATAAGAGCTAGGGATATAGCTTGGTGTGAAGGCCCTGGGTTCAAACCCTAGTACCAATAAATAAATAAACAATAACAAAAAGATTCGAACCAAGGGCAAACAAGCAGGATAAGACAGTTTTCAGCTCAGTTCTTTATGATCTTTAAGAAATTCTTTAATAGTTACAAAAGCAAATGCTTGAGACGGTTGAACAGCCAGAGGTTTCTTCAAAACAAAGTCTACGTGCTCTTTGAATAACCTGAATTTCTAACCTGTTCTACTGAAATGATGGGAGACTAGTAAAATGGAGTAAAAGATGTGTTGTCCCTACTTCCAGTAAGTACTCAGTACCTTCTCAAATGTCACACCCTACACATCATTCCAGCAACAGGGAAAGAGTCCAGTCATACACACCAAGTGAACAATTCCTCCACTGCCTCTGGAGGACATCAGGATAGTGAAATAGCTAAAAAAAAAAAACAAACAGAAAAAGCCAGAGTGACAGGAAAGTATGATCCCTAGCTCTCATCTTTTTCTTTCTTTCTTTTTTCCTCTCTCTCTCTCTCTCTGCCAGGGTAGGGAGGTGTTACTAGGGATTGAGCCCAGGGCCTTTTTTAAATTTTGAGACTGCTTCTCGCTAAATTGCTAAATTACCCAGGCTGGGATGGAACTTGTGATCTCCTGCCTCCCAGAGTGCTGGGATTACAAGTGCATGACTATGCCTGGCTTAGCTCTCCCCTTTTAGCTGGGAAAAAAGCCCCACTTTTTCCACCATGCATAGTAACAGTTCTACAGTCTTACCTAAGCCTGTATCTGCCATTGCCAAAAAGCTATTTGAGAAGTCAAAGAAAGCAAAATACTAAGTCTACTGAAAAACAGTATACTGACACAAATTATTATAACAAATACCTCAGTTTTCCCTTCATTTCCTAGGACAAATCAAATGACACTAACTTACATTCATATACTCATAAAGGCTAACTAAGAACCATAAGCTGAAGAACTTCACCTTTTTACACAGTATGCTTTTGAAGACATTTTTTAAAAATTCACATTCCATCCAACAGAAACTAAGCCTTATCTGCATCTTCCCACAAAAAAAGAATTCAGAAATTTGGTGACAGATTCACTACACTATCCAAGGTGACAAAATTCAATTCTACACTGGTAACCTCTGAACAAGCAAAAGCTTGACAACCATGATCTGCCAAATGAAAACAAAATTCACAGTAAACATACACTGTGGAAAGTGCCTACTCCTTCTGGCCTTAGGAAATCATAAAACACAGCACAAAACGAACCTCAGATACTAGATCTGAACAGCCTAAACATATTCTCCATTAGTCAACAAAACAAAACAAAACAAAACACCAATACTACAACATGAAGAGGATTAAAATTTACTGAATACCTACCAAGTGGCAGGTAGCCCTGTTTACTATTTAACATAACTTATTTGAAGTGCTAGATAACTGTCTGGTGTAAGTCCTACTGTGACCATTTACAGACTGGGAAAGTAAAGCCTTAGTATCACAAACCTAGAAAATGTCAAGGCAACATTATAACCCAAGGTCAGTCTGATTCCAAAACCAAGGATTCAAACTACTCTATGGATCTATATTGTGGAAATAAATGGAAATAAGCCAATATTTCAATATGGGAATATAATGGACAAGGTCAGTTTCCAGCCCCCAAGATCACCTTAAAACTTTATGTGAAAGAAATAGAAATTCTCCACTGAAAGTAACTAGACAAGACGGTCTCTATAGTCCCTTACAACTTGTAAATCTTCAAAATTAGCTCCAAGTGATCAATTATGTTCATCAGAGTGAATTATGTTCATCATTTAGACACCATAATCCGTTACGATACTTCATGACTACTACTCCATTAAAACTTAGTTTTCTGGGACTTCTTTCCTGATTAATTTTTTCTTTGCATTTGTTAACTTATTCCCAGTTTTCATAAAAGAAGTCTCACCTGGGCCGGGGATTTAGCTCAGTGGTTCCACCACCTGCCTCACAAGCAGAAGGACCAGAGTTTGATCCCCGGTACCAAAAAAAGAAAAAAAAAAAAAAAGAAGTCTCACCTGTCACTTCCAAAAGAAAAAGTGAAAGGTCAAATTTGCCCTTAAAGGCTCAAAACTAAAAACTGGCTACAAGGCTGCTAACACCAACCATTCCTATGTCTATACAAAATTAAACGAAGTATCTAAATACTCTCAATAATAGTGGCACTCATTTATTAGCTCTATGTGCACACAGCTCACATAATCCCTGAAACTCAGGGTGTTCGGCAAAATGGACAGATATCTCTTTAACAGACTCAAGCAAAAGGTAAAATTCCAAACAGCACTACTGAACTCAAAATGATTATTATCTAGCTTAAAACTTTCAACCCAGACACGAGGACTTACAGGGTACTCACTAGATTAATTAAAACCAAAAAGAACCATTTTCCATTTCATATAAAACTTCATCTGGATAAATATTATAAATATTTAAAAGGTACTTTTTAAAAAAAAGCAAACAATGTCATATAAAGTCGTATGATGAGCCCTTGCGAGTTTTCAAAAAGAAACGATGACATGAATACAGTTCATATTTACAAGGCACAGGCAAAAAATAAACACCGGCTCCTGGTCTACCACCACTACCCAATCCTCAATTTTCCTAGGCCTAGTTCATGTGTAGATGAGCAGCTCTGTCAACTCTGCTTTTTCACATTACTGACCATTAACTGCTGGTTATCTCAGAGCTCTCAGTTCATCTTTTGCCAACAGGGTGGGGGAAGGGAGAGCTAAAACTTATTTTACTAAACTGTTTCTATTTATCTGATGCAGAAGCCTGAAATTAAATCACAATATTTAACTCGTCTAACCTCTCAAACGAACTTTACAAATGGCCGAGTTACTGTCGCGAGCGTGACCTGAACCTCAAAAAGGCAGGGGCTTCCAGACTCGCCATATGGGACCACCGCGGAGTTTAATTTCTAACTTGCTCGTCCCGCACTAGGAGAGGATCGGGTACGTGGGCTGGCGCGAGGCTGCTGTCCCGCGCGCCTCCGGCCGGCCAGCGGGCGCCTCCCCGAGAGCTGGGCCAGGCCACGCCGCGCTCTGGAGGGCTCGAGACCCGCGCGGCTCCGGCCCACATGGCCGGCAAGCGACGCGGACAAGGGCGTGCCGGATCCCGCGCAACGGACTACCGCTCCCAGGCCCGGGCGGCGCCCAGGCCCCGAGTCCGCCCGGGCCCAGCCCTCGCCCACCTTAACGTCCTCGTCTTCGTCCTCGCCTTCCCAGCGGTCCCCGCCGGCGGAACCACTGCCCGCCACCTTCCGCACCGGGTCTTCCACGGAGAATGTGTCTGCGTCTAAGGAAGAGAGCGAGCCACGTTAATGCCTGCCTCGGAGTGCGGCCGGTGCCCGCCTGGCCCTGCCCTGGGAGCCTCTGCTCACCCCAGGAGTCGGAGTCGCCCGCCGCCGCCGCCGCCGCCGCCGCCGCCATCTCGAGCCGGGCGTGAGAGTCCGACAGGCGAGCGCCGCGAGCAGTCAGCGCGGCGGAGGTGACTCACCGAGCGGCCCTCGGCGGCCCGCGCGGGGCAGGCTGGGACTGTGGCTGACTGCGCGCCGGCCGAGGCCCCGCCCCTCAGGGCGTCCGCTCCGCGCCGCGCTGAGGACCAGGGGCCAGAGGACAGACGCCAGGAGGCCGCGCCAGAGTGGGCACCTCCCCCGGGGGGCGGGAATAGTCCTGACACTCCAGCACGGCGACGCGGCTACCCTAGTCCGGGACAGAGAGACTGGAAGGGCCGCTGGGATACCCCGCCCTCGCGCCCTCGCAGCCGCTCCTCCTCGGTCGGCCGCGCGCGCCCCGCCCGGAGCGTGTCTCGGTCGGACTGCGGTGGGCGCCGAGGAGGCCCAGTCATCTCCAGCCCGTCAGCTCGCTGAGGCCCGCGCGGAACCAGACGAGAAGCAGTCCGGCGTCGCGCGTTTCCCTGTGGGCCGGCACACTGGTTCTCTTTCCGCAAAGCAATTTCGGAAGTCTTTGGCTGGCCTGTGTTACTCGGCCAAGCAGCTGGAGGGACGTATGGGCAGACTTCGACACGGGGCGATGACTAACGGAGCAGTATTGTGTGCGTGTGAAAGTTCAGTTGGAGGAAAGGCTTCCTAAGGCGGGCGCCAGCGAAACAGGGATTCAAGAGACCGAGTGAAACGCGCCCGAGAACATTTCTCACGGAGAAATGCTGAGTGTGCGGTCTTTACCCGAAGGGCGCAGCCAGAGGTGAACGAAGCTGATGAACTGACTGCAAAGCACCGAGAGGAGTTAACCTTGCCCCTTTGTAGGATTTTAAGGGATGAGCTGGTTTAGATATCTTACTAATTTTGGAGTATGTAATACACGTACTTTACACAACATTCAAGTCATAAAAAGCGTGAGAAGCAATCTCTAATGGTGGATTGAGAGGCAAGACAGAAATAAGGGAAAGGTTGGAATATAAATCCCTGAGGGGGACACAGATGTATCTACAGCAGTCACCATGGTGGATAATATGTAAGTATTTTATGAATGGATTTTTTTCAGCGCTGGAGAAAAGGGCCTCTTGCATTTGAGACAGGGCTGTGCCACAGAACTACACCGCCAACCTGAATTAATTAAAAAAGAAGAACACAAGCCTAAATTAAGACAGTGGCATGGAGAGGAAGGAGCCAGTCTGAGAAATATTTAAAGATCAGACTCAACAAAATGTAGCGACTGTCATAGTTAATTTTATGCATCAACTTGGTTAGGCCATGATCCCCGTTACCAGATTTTGGTCAAACACCAATCTAGTTGCTGTGAATGTATTGGTTACATGTGAGTAACATTTAAATCAGTAAATTTTGAGTAAAGTAGATTATCCTCCACAGTGGATATGAGTCCATCAGTGAAAGACAACACCCTTGGAAGAAGGAATTCAGATCTCCCTTGGATCTCCAGCCTGCTGGCTTGCCTTGCAGGTTTCAGACTTGCCAGCAGCACCCAGCAATCATGTGAGCCAGTTCCTTAAAATAAATATTTTTCTGTATACACATTCTGTTGATCTATTTGTCTGGAGAACCCTAACTGATGAAAATAGACACCATCGAAGATGAGGTAGAATGAGAGAAAACTTTGAAAGACTTCAACATTGAAGAAGCAGCCAAAAACCCGGTATGTTGTGATCCCAGCACTCAGGAAGCTAAGGCAGGAGGATGGCCACAGTTCAAGGCGAGTCTGAACTACATGGTGAAACCCTGTCTCCCCCACCCCCCCACAAACAAAAAGCAGCTGCAAACTGGATATAGTGGTGCTTTCCTATAATCCCAGCACTCTAGGAGGCTGAGTCAGGAGGATTGCAAAATTGAGTCCAGGCTGGGCAGTTCAGTGACTTAGGCCTTCTCTCAAAATTTTTTGTTTTGTTTTTGGTACCAGGGATCAAGACCTTGTGCTTACAAGGCAGGTGCAGTGACACTGAGCTAAATCCCTGCTCCCCACCCCCCACAAAATTTTTTTTTAAAGTGCTGGGATGTATCTCAGAGGAAAGGCCCTGAGTTTAATCCTCAGTGCTGGGAGTGAGAAGAAATAAAAGGAGAAAACAGAGGAAAAAGGTATAAGGAGCACAGTAAATTTTAAAAATTGTTTTTGTGTTCTTCTAGTTGTACTCTGTACATATATATAAATTTTAAAATACTGCACATGTGGTATATTTAAAAATTTACTATGTGACTGTCAGGAGATCTAGTCATCCAACTGATCGCATTTTATTGAGCGGAACACTAGACATTTCCAATGTGTGGAGGGAGAAGAGCTCCCAATGTTATACTTTCTCCTTTTGTGGAAATTTCCCTAGTATCCAAGAGTAGTTGAACTCCCTGAAGCCATGTCTGATGATTAGGCATTGTTGATTTTCCATACCTGATCTAGAGGAATTAGAAGCATGTTAGCTATGAAGCTAATGAAACTTTAGCTTCAGGGCCTAAATCATTGTATTGGCCCATATCATTTTCTAAGACACCCCCCCCCCCCCCGCGCATTGTATATGTTTTAAGGCATATACAGTCTGGATTCGCTCCCAGGTGGGATGTAAGTGGCCTATTCGAATCATTTTATTCTGTGGTAACTAATCTGCAACGTTGGCCCAACACTGCAAGGTAACCAAGCCCTATGCAGTCTCCCCTTGAGTCTGCACTAACCCTATGAATATTTTTTTTTTTTGAGACAGGGTCTCGTTATGGAGTCCAGGCTGGCCTTGAACTCACAGTGATCCTCCTGTCTCAGCCTCCTGAGTGCTGGGATTACAGGCCTGTGCCACCACCCCTGGCTCGATTCATTTTTGAATAGTGTAGAAGTTAGCCCAAGCCTAGGATATAACAAGACTTAAAGCCTCCACCTGTACCTTTTAGAATGTTCTGGTGGAAGCCAGATGCCATTCATGAAGTCCTAACTAGGTACAGTGGGTCATGCCTGTAATGCTATTAAGGCGGTTGAAGCAGGAGGACCAGTTTTAGCCTATCCCCTGCAAGTAGCTGCTAAAGAGATGATTTCCCAAGCCACTTCACTTCCTCTTGCTTTCCCTGAGGTTCAGTTTCCACTTTTCCTCAAATGCCATGAACTATCTCTGTATCTTTCTAGTGAATTCTTCTTAACCTTAGCATCCTAGTGCAGTGTAATTGCAGTTAAGAGGAAAGCTGGCTGTGGTGGCACATGCCTCTAATCCCAACCCTTGGGAGGCTGCAGCATGAGGATTGCCACAAGTTTGAGGCCAGCCTAAACTGCATAGCAAGACTGTCTCAAAAAGCAAAAAAGACAGCAATCCTGAGAGGGTGGTACTTTGTTGTACTTACGTCTGTGTTCAGCACATAGCAGACACAATAATTGCAGATGGATCCAGGTGGTTTGTTTTCCAAGAAAAATTTGTCCACCAGGTCCCTGTTTCTTTTCATGAAAGATAATCTCAAAAAAACACAAATACAGCTGGGCCACAAAGCAGCAAGCCTCATTATTACTAGTAAGCATCACTGTACAGTAATCTGAACTGGGAATATGTAAGTGGCTTTTGTCATATCCATTTACCCCAAGGTGGAGTCTCAGAAAAGCAACAATTTTATTTTTTCTAATGCCATAATGTAGTTATTTGTATTAACCTGGCTGCAGATATTTTAAGACAATGTATCTTTTTAAGATGTTAACAGGGCTGGGGTTTTAGCTCAGTGGTTCTGCCACCTGCCTCGCAAGCACAAGGTCCTGAGTTCGATCCCCAGGACCCCCCCCCCAAAAGATGTTAACAAAAAGAAATACAGGGAAGGCAAAGCCAAAGAACAAAATTTTGACTTTCCAGAGAAAAAGTTAAACTGCCTTGTAGACTCCCTTCTACGCCCTCATGCTAGAAGTGGAACCCAGGGCCTTACACATTAGGCAAGGGCTCTGTCGCTGCCATACACACCCAGCCCCTGACCTGTACTTTTACCAAATACTTAGCTAGAAGAGATGGAGCATCCTGTTGACTTAGTATTAGTGACTATTCTTTCACTAGATGGACTGTCTGGTTCTACTCCACCTAAGCAGGCATCTGATTATGATTTAGTTTTTTGGAGGGGTTTTTTGGGGTGTTTTGGTACTGGGGATCGAACTCTAGACCTTGCATTTGCGAGGCAAGCGATGGAACCACTAAGCTAAATCCCCAGCCTCTGATTTAGTTTTTTTAAGGAGAAAAATTGTTGACAGTAAATGAACAAAATTGAAATCTGGCTTTAAAATTGGTGTATAGTAAGCCCAGAGTTTAGCTCAGTGCCACCGTGCCTGCCTGGCAAGCACAAGGTCCTGAGTTTGATTCCTAGTACAAAAAAAAAAAAAAGTGTATAGTGAGTTTGCTTAGTGTGAACCAATTGTCCTCAATCTCAATTCTAGATGCACTGAATCTATTTTTTGCACTTAGAAGTCCAAACTTTGAAATGTGGGCCCATTGATGCCTTTATCAAACAAATGGTTATTCAGTGCTTATGCTGTACCAAGTATGATTCTAAGGCTTTGCAATATTAACTTCACACTGTTAAGCCACATACAATTAAAAATGGGTTGTAGGGATTGAAGATGGTATGGAAAAATATATGGGCTGTGTATAAGCAACACTGATACAGTTCGATGCAGAAATTGAGAATTCATAGTATTATGCTTGCTTTTTCAAATGAAGCAAGGAAACAAGTGTCTAGAACTATGTACTAGGCCTTAAGACTAACTTGCTACTTATTCTAGTCTCTGTGAGAGCCCTATAATCACAGATAACAGTGTAGTCATCCCTCCATATCTATGGAGGATTGCTGTGGTTCTAGGACACACATATACCCTGTTGATACCAAAATCTGCAGATGGTCAAATCCCTTATGTAAAATGACATATAGTATTTGGGTATAATCTACATCCCCCTATATACTTTAAATAATCTCTAAATTGTACTTAGAATATCTAATGCAAGGGAATACTGTGTAAGTATACTGTGTTGTTTAGGGACTAAAGACAAAGTTTGTACATCTTCAGTACAGGCACATTTTTAAAAACTATTTTCAATCCACAGTAGGTTGGATCCA